GCATTCTATGCATTCGGTAAAATTTTGCCTTACAAGAATTCTTGGAATTTAGTGGGTGAAATTGGGTGTCTGGACTTCTTGTGTGAATTCTGTGGAGGCTTCTCACCTAAATTCAGTGCTTAAGCAGCAATACATATGATTGATTCGTGATCGGGGTATTCGAATCTGAACTCTTGCCCAGTATCGTACTCAGAGTCGCATTGCTGGGAAAGAGTACGGTACTGGACGTGAGTTAAGAGCTCAGTTTCTCGACCATGAATGAGCTACATGAGCTGCAACTTGAGCAGATGGGTTAGTTAGTGCTTCTCAATCATCTCCAATGGAAAACTCTAGCACCCAGCCTTGCCTGGAAATTTTCGGTCATTTTTCTTTTTTCTTCCCTCATCGTATTCTTGTGTTTCAGCTACCAAGAGCGATCTCCCGATTTTCACAGCAAGTTGGCTCATTAGACGATTTACCTCTTTCCCTTCCCGCATTATCTCCTAACCTGAACTCCGAACGGAAAACAAGTCAAGCAGAATCTAGCGCTGCACTTCAGAGCTATGTGGAGAGGTAAAAATGTTTCCGAATTAGCGTAATCACCGGAGTTTAAATATGAATGTGTTAAGGCTTGCCGAAGATGAAAGTACAGTGTTTGGCGCTACACTGAAACGGTTTATCGAATGTACTGTTCAAAGTGAAGAAGCTGATCCTAGTGTGGTTGTACGGAATGTGAGGCAATTCATCAACGGAATCAAGAATTATTTGGTCAAACATGGAGAAGGTATGTTCTGCCAATCATTTTATTTCTCAGCCTTTTTTCTCCATGAAAAAATGCCCTGATGTCCTATCTCTTTTTTTTTCCAATAGGCGAAATAAATAAAGTAATTTTCTTTCGTGAAATTTTGCAGTTATCAAATTGTCAAGTTGTCAGTCGGTCACTGAAAAAATCTTGTCACTTCTTATTAAATTTTGATTTGCATTTTCTGAGACTTCAAAACGAAGTAGCAAAAAGAGTTTTTTTTCTTGAATTGTCACTTTATGAGCAAGCTACACCTTCGAAAAAAGATTTAGATCCTCGAGTTT